ATTTTTTGAGTAGTTGAATCTTTTTAGTTTTTGGCTCGAAACTCGTGGTGGATTAGAGCTGTTGCAAAATCAAGACTGCCTCTTTTAGAGCTTGCTTTGCTCTATCGAATGATGTATTGCAACCTACTTAGAAATGAGAAGTGTATGACTTATTGCGGTTGGAATTCAAAACCTGCATTAATTTCCGGACAACCTAATGCGAACACGAAAAAGCTTACGTAGCAGAGTCAGTGTGAATCTCCGCAAAACGGAAGTGACGTAGTGGTAAAACTATAACATCGAAACACAGTCTAGTCATGTGAATTCCACAAATGCAGTGAAGCGGCCGCCTGTGAAAATAGGGCTACTCATACTTTATTCCAATGCTCTAAAATAACGGAATAATTTGCCAAAGATTGGTGAAAATATTTTGTAAAAACCGAGAAAGACCAAAAACGTGTTAAACTTCTTACCACAAGTAGATTGCGAGGATGAATTATAGGTAGAACACCACTAGTCATTTTTCCCACAACCTATCCGCTTTGGCTTAGCGAGTAGGTTTGCCAAGCGTGCGTAGGTGTTTTTTGGATGCATCCGCAATTCAAATCTTTTGTAATTCAATGTAATCTGCATTTCCAAGATCGGTTAGTCAGATCCATTATCAATAACTTCTTCATAAGCTTCTAGATAGATCCGTTGAAACACGTAGTAAGTAAAATTGTTACGTGTTTCAACGGATCTATCTAGAAGTGTGTCGTGTCGCTCCTCGTGTGCGGTCGGTTTTTCTTTTGCTGTGTACATCCATCTAGTTTTCTATTTTTGCTGCTATTCTCTTCTTCTTTTGTTTCTGTTTTTTGAGATTTGGCTGCTCTGCATAACCTTATCTCTTTTCCAGTGGTTCTTTTCCTGAATTTTTTCTCGTTTGGTGGTTTCCTTCCTCCTCTAGTGTATTGATTTATTGTTTTTCCAATTGAGTAGAGCAGAGAGATGCCAGCCAGATCTACGCGTGCTAAAAAAGCCTCACTGGTCTCTCCTGCAAATGAGTCAGTGAATGTTCAGAGCGGAGATCTGTCTGCCGACATTGATTACAGTCAGATGACCGCTTCTGCCCTACTCCATTGCATTAGGGAGAAAAATACCGATCCTGTAATCGGCAGAATGTTATCTCTTCTGTCCGATAAATTACAGGAGGAGATCCACAGTGCAGTGGAAGGTGAGAAGCGGTCTAGGACCGTTGTAATCAGTGGGGTATCGAAACCACCCGAGGGCCTTAGTGCTAGCGAAAGAGCTGCTGATCTCAAGAAAAAGGTCGATGATATTTTTAATGTTCCTAATGTGAACTGTAGCGCGAGTGAGCTATATAGGATTGGTAAGAGTGGAGGACCTCGTCCGCGTTTAGTTAAAGTGGTTCTCCCCTTTAAGTTTTATTGGAGGTCTGTGTTGTCCAGCGCCCACATCCTCCATTCTTCCTTTCCTAACATTTTCATACGTCGTAGTATGACGGAGGAAGAAAGGAGGATGGAATATGACCTGCGCCAACAGCCAGAGAGCGCAATAGGGGACAAGCAACACGTGAATGGGTTGTCTATAGGGGGCAACTCAAGCGTGTTGCTGTGTTGCTGAACTACCCCACAGGCCTTCGGGAAACCACTGAATCCGCATGGTATTTTGAGAAAATTGAACTGTTTTTTATTCAATTCTCGCAGTATTGTAAATAAGATAGACCACCTCCACTCTTTCCTTTGCCGACATAAACCAGATTTGGTATTTATAACTGAGACATGGCTTACCTCCAAAATACGAGATTCTGAAGTTGTGAATGATTTGCCCTATGCTGTCCATCGTACAGATAGGTGTAAAAGAATTGGGGGAGGTGTATGTTGCCTTGTTAAGAATGATATTTCCATTAAAAAGATAAGTCATTTTACGGTATCCAATATCGATTTGCTATCCGTTGAACTCTTTTGCCCCTCCAGCTACAGCCTACTTAAAGGCAGCGTCCACCCAGAATTTGGCCCCCCATGTTTTTGTCATTCTAGGGCCTTTCCATGGCCCTGATTACAGTTCCGAGCTTCAAACTCTCTAAAATTCACAAAAAACCCGATTCTTGGGGACCCAGTTTTGAGGGCGTGGACGAGTTTCGAATTGCTCGTCCCCGTCGGCAGGCCAGCGGGAAGGAGCTGCAACTGCATGGGTGCAGTTGCATTGCAGTGTGCAGTGTGCAGCTTCTGCACACTATCTTGTCAATACGTGTCGAAAGGCACGTATTGACAAGATAGTGAGCAGTCCCTGATGGGCGGAGTCTGATATCAGACTCCGCCCAGCCAGGAACTTTCAGGCTCCTTATCTCCATTCAGAGACAACGTTAAAAGACCGGACCAACGCAGATGCCCCTTTTCTGGGGCCTACATTTAGGATCGACACTAATCGGAGGGGGTTAGGTTTAGCCTGGACACTGCCTTTAAGTTCATTAACATTTATCGTCCTCCGAGCAGTACACAGCATGATGATGAACAACTTGCTGAACTATTGATCATCAATACGACCCGAAGCTGTTGTTTTATTGGGAGATTTCACCTCCACGTTGACTGGAAGAATCATATTACGCTTGATCAAAGTTCCAAGCCGCTATTTGAATTTTTCAAAGATTGTGGTTTTGAACAATTTGTTTGCAAACCAACTCATGGTAATGCAACTTTGGATTTGATCTTCTCAAATACCCAGAATATCAATAATGTTGCAATCTATCCTCCTATTGCTTCTGCTGACCACAATGTCGTACGATTTCAAGTAAAAGGAAGCTGTTGTGGTAAAGCATTGTATCCAATTCCTGACTTTCCCAATTTTGACTATGCAGGTCTTAATGAGTACTTTGCAAATGTCAACTGGGATACGGTTTATGATAACTGCTCGGGGCTTAATGGATATTACCAAGCTTTTTGTTCAAAAATTTATGAAGGCTTAAGTAGATATGGACGCCTAAGAATTTTTGGATTCAATGACATTCGCTATCCTAAACATATAGTTGATCTTATTGACCAAAAACACAATTTGTTCAGTAAAATGAATGATGCTTTATCAAACCATTTGTATAAAAAAGTATGCGATGATTTAGCCTTTCATTTAAAAAAGTTTCTATCAAACTTTGAACGTAGATTATCAAGTAGTAAAAATTCTAAAAAACTATTTGGTTATTTGCGGCATAAGCTTCAGAACAGTGCTGTTCTCCCCATTCTTTCTGATGATAGTGGGAACAGCTATATGAATGACGATGAGAAAGCAGAAGCGTTAGGCAGATATTTTGCAAGTGTTTTCTCTGTATCACAAGATCTCCGAGATGATTCTTCTGTTAACCGTTCTGATCTTCCCCAAACTTGTAATACTATACATTTTCGGTCAGCTGATGTTCATGCTATTTTCGGGTCTCTTAGCTCATCATGCACTGAGCCTTACGATGGTATTCCTCCTATTGTCTACAGGAAGTGTGCTGAACTGGATCTGCTTCTACAGTATCTGATTTTCGTCCCATAAGTCTGACGCCCACTCCAATCAAAGTTATGGAAAAAATCATTAGAAAGAAACTGTTTCGTTGGCTAAGAAATTTCCATCATACCTCCTGAGCTTCATGGCTTTTATCTGGTAGGTCAACTACTACTAATCTTGTTGCAAGTGTTTTTGATTGGAGAAAAGCCCTTAATGCAGGGTTATCTGTCGATGTTGTCTATGTGGACCTATCGAAAGCATTCGATAAGATTCCTCACCATGTACTATTATCCAAATTACAAAGCTATGGGACAGATGGAAAATTATTGCAATGGTTCCGATCCTATTTTGAAAACAGATTTGTTACAGTCAAGGTTGGGCAGTCCTTTTCCAATAGGTATCAATGTACTAGTGGAGTACCCCAGGGTGGGGTACTTTCGCCTCTTCTTTTTCTTATCTTCACTCTGGAGCTACCTTCCCTTTTGACTTTGGGTGGAGTGAGTGTACAGATTTATGCGGATGATATTAAGCTCTACGTCAGTTATAGAGAAGAGGATCATCATGCTATGCATGCTGCAGTTCAGTCATCCATTAAAAGATTGAGCTGGTGGGCAATGCGTAACGGTCTTTCTCTGAATCCTAGCAAGTGCTCCTTTCTGCATTTTGGGAGAATAAGACCTTTCGATTATGAAGTGAATGATTCTGTTTTGACAATGTGTTCATCGGTCAGGGACCTAGGTGTTTTGATTTATTCCCAGTTGAAATTTACTGAACACATTGATTATGTCGTGCAAAGAGCGTACTCTTCGCTGTTTGCTATTTTTCGCAACACTCATACATGTGATGAAAACACTCTCGTCAGACTGTATAAAGCCTGTGTTCTCCCTCATTTGGAGTATTGCTCTCAAGTATGGAACCCCTCATGTAGAAAGGAGACCCTAAAACTTGAAAGGGTTCAGCGAGTGTTTACGAAAATGGTCCTCTATCGCAAGCTGCGAAGTATATCCAGAGAAGAAATTCCATCTTATGTGGAACGCCTTAGAATGCTTGGATTGAAGTCGCTGATGAATAGAAGGATAGTGGCTGACTTAGTTTTTTGTTTTCGTATATTGCGAAAAGAGGTTGATTTGAGAGCTAGCAGGTTTTGGATCTTTAGACCTGCTAGTTGTAGGCGTGGCGGCTTCAATTTACATTATCCTAGGTTACAAAAGAGCTTCTATTCCGGTCTTTTCAACTCATTATTCTATCGCTGTGCACGCTGGCTCAATCGACTACCTCCCAAATTATTAACTGCCAAAAATAGCTGGGCTTTTAAAAGAAGTTTGCTAAAGATTATATCCCTAATATTTTGCATTGTGGGCCGTATCTCTGTTGATACTTTTTTATTCGTTTTAAGTCTAATTTAGGTTTTTTGTTCAATAAGAACAGCTTACCAGTTGGATTTCGCAAGTCCTTACTTTTGATTACTTTTTTTCTTTACTTTTCCTTTCTCGCATCTATTCCTAAAAGTGTTCTTTTCATTTTTCAGGTTTTCTTGCATGGTTTTGGAACCTTCATTTATGGCCTGGTTAATTTATGTTTGTCTCATTACGTCAGCTGGTGGTTGTGCGTTTAGTGGAGCTCGCTTCCAATCGCTTTATGCTCTCTCTTGCCATCCGTGCGCATTTCCAACTCAATCAGTGCATGTGTTCAACATGTTCTACTTTTTTTCTCTGCTTTGCTAGATTTGTTCTTCAACTAACTTGACTAGACCATGTAGTTATGGGCCCAGCCTGACTGTCAACTTATTACTATTCATACGGATTGCTGATTCCTACTACGCTTGCTCAACCTACTTTCCTGTTTATACTTGGAGCTCAGGACCCTCCCCAGCAAACCGTGTTGGGCGGGGTTTGCCAGTATACCCTCCACCCGAACTTCCGGTTTGCTTCTATGAATTATATAAAGATCGTTCCTTGCTGGCAAACGAGGGGGCATGGGTACTTCTCCATAGAGTCTATGCTAGCACAAGATAACGTGCAGCCGAGATGCAAGTCATGCAAGCTTATCATCACATTACTACTGCATTACTTTTCTTAGTAAGTCGTTTAGACTGGGTTTAGGACGACGTGGTGATTTGGTATTTGTTGCTATTGTGTTCCATGTATGACTAACACTTTATTGTTTTTGATTTGGAACGCCTCGAGCGTATGAATGAAAATGAAAATGAAAATGAAAATCTTTGTTGGGACTTTTCCGTGAACCGGACCCTTTTTTCAAGGACTGTTTTTGAGATACGTCCTTTGTTTATTTGAGACTACCTGCCTGCTGCCACGTGTCAAAAAAATGAACACGTTTGTTCACTTCTAGATTTTTTTTCTAAATTATTTATAGCACAGATTAAGATGATTAAAAACTGAACTGTTTACTTATGAAAAACAAAACAATCCAAAGCCTTTTAGAATACTGGCTTTCAACCTCCAAACGTATTCGTTTAAAGTTTAGCTATGAAAGAATAAAACCGTGGCTTAAAATACCTCGCAGCCGCTTTTTTCGCTGGAAGCCTAGCGTACTTCTTTGTACTGCGCAAATCTATTGCGTTCTTGAAAATAGGTGACATGCTCAATATCAATTTTTGCCTTGAATCAAAAATAAGGTCACTATTGATCAAAAACAACTGAATTTACGTTGGTAGAAGGGCAACACGGATTTTTGGTAACGAATGCGGCGGGAGGCCGACAGGGCCTCCTGTACTGGGACGGCATATGGCACAAGCAAAAAAAACAATATATTCTTTTGAAAAAATAGATCCGGATAACGGAAAAGTACCGTTTTTTTCGAAGTTATTTGATCAAACGAACGGGATGTTGGTAGAAAAATGGTTTTAGAAACTCTCGGGCTCATACAATATACTAGTCATAGGGAACAGTTTTGCTTGGAACCAGGGAGATTTGGTGTATGATGCCTTCAAAAAATATGCTCGTCGCTTTAGCGTGTTCTATTTAGGAGGTTTGTTCCTATAACATTTGGTAATAATCATTAAATCGAATACTATGTATGTGTAGGCTGCGAATTTATGACGAAGATCAACACAAAACGAAAGGATTGCACAAATTACGCGAATTCCTATTTCACTGCTGTGCTTGACGAACTAAAACCGGATATAATATTTATTTTGAGTAGGTAAGCTATATGATTGGCATTGCATATTCTTCCATATTACCGATTTTATAGAGCATTTACTGCCAAACTGCGATTCAACCTTACACCGTTTTCTCTTGAAAAGGATATCATCTTCAATGATTATATGAACACTATGAAGAAGTTGGAGAAATTCGCCAAAAAGGTAAGAGACCTTGGCATCAGAACCAGCTCTACATTGCAAATTAGGTGTATCTATTACAAGCATTGCCTTCGTGTACACAGCATGAATGCGCCAAGAATGTTTGGGATTATGTCAGGAAAAACAGACCCTTAGAGATTGTTAAGGTCAGTTTTGCATTCAAAAGCATGTAACTTTTCTAGAATATTTAGAAACAACTCATTGACAGAGACGAATTTTTCGCCCGTTTTAGGATAGAAGAAGTTGGCAAAAGGTAAGAAGCATTATTCTAATATTTGCTCTAACTATCTTGCAATTTTTAGGTGTAAAAAATGTGAAATTATTGATTATATGCCGCTACTACTCGATGACAGCGGACGTTATCTAGGATACGATCCCGAAAACGGTTTTTTATATCTGGATGGACATAATCATCTCAATGATTACGCAAAAGAACGGATTCGTCCGCTTTTCAACCGCCTCGCTGAGGAATTTGGAAAAGCCATGCCCGTTTGAGAAATAAATGTTGTTGCTGTTGTTTCCATAACCTAAAAAGATGCGAAGTGCAAAGTCAGTGTTGAAAATGTTTACTCGAAAGTTAAATGTGGGTTAACTGATCTAGAGTATTGGTCGAAAGGTTAAACTAGCTAACAATCATAAGAAGAACAAGCACAGTTTTCACAGCAAATTGCAGCGTATAGAATCAACTTGTCGAGTTTTCAAAAAGAGAAAAGATGCAGCGGAACACAGGTACGAAATTTGACTTGCCTTAGTCGAAGCCTGTAAGCAGCGCTTGGATGGGATGAGCAAGTTGAAACTATCTACACTACTAACACAGGCACTCATCGGATGCTGCAGCATAAGTATAGAATTTAAAATTTCGGTGTCAATTCTGCTACGAGAAGCAGAGGTCGCGGCGTGCAAGACGCTAGAATTTTGTTGGATTTTGTTTAAAGATCCCCAGACGAACAGGAAAGATGAATGTATTTGACTTACAACCGCACCAGCCAATGCCTAGCTCACTAGTTAATCATACGTTTCTCAATGGTGGTCCGTGACCCACGCTAAATTTCATTGGGCTATTAATCCTGGGCAGCATCGTTTGCGTTTTTAGTCAACTGCGTGTATTTTTCTTCCATTATAAGACGTTTGGAAAAATGAATCTTATTTGTTCCTCGCTTAAGGGCTCCGACGAAGGCGAGTTGGCCGAAACGTCAGCAAAAAATAACAGCCTGCAAACAACAACATCATCATGCCAAGATTCACTGAAGGTCGAGTGTGGAGGATGAATGTCGTTTACCGAATTGCCACATACCCTTCTATTCAACTGAATTGACGGTTGGAAGGCGGAGCTTTGTAACCTAATTGAGGCTAGAGAATGATCAGAGAGCACGTTTGCGAGAGAGACGCAAACTGCGTCGCGGACGTGAGCGGTCGCCTTCCAGCTGCCACTTTCGTCAAATCAAATGAAAACGTCCGTCAATCTTTCTTTTGAGCCAAATCGGCTTCGCCACAGCTTAGTCTAACATATTTTATCACCCTGAACACTTATCGTATTTTATCCACTAGCTAGCAGCCTCAGCCTTGCCTCAAGCTTTGATTTGTTTGGCATGGAATGAAATTTGATGATTCACCAGAAACAAGTGCTGTTCTCAGTACTCTGCGTTGATACCACTGCTTCGTACTTCAAACTCTAGCACACTCTACCTCGCCCCTTCACAAGGAGACCTGCACAGCATAGGTGTGCAAAATTGGCGCTCTTCGGTTCAGAGCTAGGTTTCTGTACTGAACATAATGTATATTCAACCTCCGTCTAATTTGGAGTAAGCCCAACTCGAGTGGTTCGGGACTTGCGCTGCTACGCTTCGACCCTGCTTTAATCTTACTGGGCGTAAAAAATGGTAAAAGAACACGTTCGCGAACGCGGCGCAGGGTCCACGCGAAGCAGCCATGCGCTATTCAAACACTTCGAGATTCGTCAAACAATGCGAAATAAGGATTTAGAGAATCACACCCTCTTTTGATTGTGTCAGAGGAACCTGCTAATCAGATCCAGCTGTTGGTAGGAGTGGAAGCTAGAAAAAGACAAAGGCAAAAAAGATTATGTCAACTGTTATTATCCTACTTAACAAGACGCTAAAACCGTCTGTTTTTTATATGTTTTTCTGGAAATCTGCAGTTGTATCCGGCCAACATTGCAGGATTTGCGGGATTTGCGGGATTTGGTTATAACTTCTTCTAAAACAACTTTTTCAGAATCTGCAAGAAGATTTGGCTTTAGCTTAATGAGGACGATTCTTTTAGTATACATTATGCCCGTTTTCCGCGGTGCATTGTATTGCATTGGCATGTGTTACGAGAATCAACATGTATTGTTGCTCATATGAGTAAATTTTGGAAATAACAAAGTATGTGTTATCATTGTTAGTGATTTTGTGCCGAACAGGTTTTCATGGTGGATCTTTATTGCCTAACGTTTCGACAAGTATCGTCTTCTTCGGAGGCCTGAAAAGGACTGCAGTTTTGTATTTGTCTGTCTCTGCGATCAAACGCCTCCTCGAACTTGCGCGCCCAGACCTTGTCCAGAGTCAACGTACTGGGATACAGTCCGAACTAACAGTCACCAACCTCAGATCCACCGCTGAGTCAGTCAGCCCGCACGACTGTGACGGACATCACTGAGAATTGAGTACTCTGCGTTGATACCACTGCTT